CCTCTTATAGTTAGCCGGTGACTAGCTCTCTGTAGAATGCGAAATGGGTCCTCTCTCTTCCATCTTTCTCATCCAGAATATCCCTTTCTTTTTTCGTCTAATCGCTCGTCCTGGATACTTCTGTCTCGCTCGCTTATTTAGGCCTCAAAGTGTCTTCTCTTTGTTTTGCCCGGTTTATTTCGGCGTCAGGATCGTGGACGGTGTTTTGGAGAGTCTGTTGGCCCAGACTCCGAGCGACGGAATCTCGGCAGAAAAAAGGAACACGATTCGCTCCGCTCGACGATGAATTCCGACGAACGAATAACAAAAATCATTCTAATCTAATTTTTCGATTTGTTTCAGATAGAATGTAATCGAGCCAGTAGATCTACCAAGGATGCTATAAGCTGTTGGGTTTTCCTCAAAATCGAAATCGAATCGTGAGTATTTCGTTCACTTCCTTGTACAAACCGCGAATGTAACACGATAGTATTCTATTTCCCATAAAATACAGAAGCCATAGAGAAGGCAGAGAAGCCAAAAGTAAATTTTATCGATTTCTATTCGTGAAGCTTTTATAATAGCTTCTTTTATAATCAACTATCGTCGTAAATTAAACGGTACAAGTTTCTCAGGTTTCGAATTATTTATAATCCATTTGTGAGCTTGAAACACACATAGGTTCAATTAAGCCCGGGGTCACTGCTCGGACTTATTTCAACGCTGAGCCGCTCTCATTGGCTAAATTCTATTATTTATTTACGCTCGTGTTGCTTTATCAGGCTTGAGAAAGCGGAAGAGGCAGAGGCTTCCATGGCTTCGAAAACGTATAGAGAGGGGAAGCTTGAAAAGTGCGCTAATTATTGTGTCACTCTTAGAACTTAAAATCAGTGCAATTTAAAGAAAAAGAAAAAAAAAAATCAACGAAGCCAACCCTAGTCAATTGACTTAAAAAAGGAAAACTAAACGGTTTTTATCAAAATTGTTTGCTTATCAGTGCACGTGTTTGAACCTGGTCTTGTTCTACTCGAGCGAGCAACAGAAACGTCTGTTCATCGTGGCAGCTCAGAGGAATAAAAATCTCGAAGGAATTTCGCCACATTTACGAGCAGCCTGCTCGACCGTGAATCGAATTCGCGTTGCAACACGACGACGATTTTCCTTTCGCCTGGAATTACGCGAGCTCCGTTCCTCGCATCGAGATGGCCCGATTCGTGAAAGCTCCACTATTCATGCATTTTTTTGCTCGATTAAGGCCAATAAACTTGTGAATCATGTACGAACATGGGAGCACGGACTCCTGTATTAAAAACGGAAAATTTACATAACTGGATTGAAGTCTTGCGCTAGATAAAAATAGACGTATCAGGTTAAGAAGATTCTGAAGAGTTGGGTGGGTATTTCTCGAACATTGATTAACGGATTTCATAGATAAAAGGTGAAGCTACATTTCTCTTTTTATCGCATCGTTTTATATCGATCCTGTGATTTTTTTATCGATGAAAAAATTCAGGTGTCTGAGTTAAAAGCGGAGTTCTTGTTATTAGTGAAACTCGAAGACAAATTAATGAGGAAGAAAGGAAAGAACACGAGCTTGCATAAAGAAGGGAGGTCTTTTATTACTGCTCTGCATGTATAATTAAAATTTTCCACTCGCCAAGTCATTCCAGTGACCTATATTTCGTTACAACATGAATAATTAAACTTTCAAAAATTCTTTGTACTAATTGCATGAATTTCTTGACAGACACCCATAAATTGGCCCATTTTTTCCTAGAATTACAGTTCTGAAGTTTCCATAAAATTATTGCCAATAGTGTTACTTAATTCTCTGCATAATACCTACACGTAGCTATCTATTCGTAATTATATTGTGTAACACCATTCGAATACCTTGGTGAGCCAACTTGCTCCTCTTTAAATGAAATTTTTTCACCTCCAAAACCTGTACGAGCATCTTAACGCGACATATTATGTAAATGGTGAAGTGGACAGGAACATCTATGTATACTCGACAGTGCAACCGTGTGATATCTAAAATTATAGATGTAACAGGCTTTGACGAGGATCGGGGAAAGCTGAAGAAAGTTCTCACCACGTTATGTCATCCTCGATAGAATGCATTGTGTAGTACTTAATTAATAAATTTTCAGACCGTTTGTTCTTGAAATAATGGCAAAGTAGCTCATATTACTCACGCAGTTCCGTTTAGCTGTATCTATAATTTTCTCCTCTTTTTCTAACACTGATCAGTGTTTCGAGATACCAGAACCTACGTCAATAAATAGTTTTCCTTCGATTCAGACACCCTGTAACTTGTTTTGCTTTCAGTATTAAAAGGTACATTCGTGAATTAGCTTTTGAAAAAATTTCAAGCCTGTTATAAAAGAAATTTATCCAATTTGTTTTAAGGGATATACGATCACTTTTACGGTCCACTGTACAATGTTAATTTGCAAATGGTGTTAATTTCTAAATTACCTAACGAATTACCAAAGTCATGCTCCCATTGACGGTGCAACGTACCGTGATCATTTTTCCTGAGGATTAATTTTGTCTGAATGTGTTTCTGCCGGTGGCCGAAGGTAGGATCGCGACACCTCCTCCTCGCCGCGGCAAACGAGTGAAAGTACTCGGAATTCTTGCGGCCAGCTCGAGCCCTGAAGAGGCTTACGCAACGCGTACGGTAACAGGTGTATTACCTGCTGTAATAACGTGTCCAGCTCGTTCGCACTCGCGTATACTCGTCAAAATATCGCCAACTCGAAGACAAAACGGACGGAGGCCCTGAAAGATGTTGCGTCAGAGGCAATGTCGGGCGAACGATTAGAAACAGCGTGACCAAAGCCGAGGAATTCGTGTTAACGAGTAATTCACTGTAAAGGGGCGTTCAAATTAAGAGGAAATATCTACGAGCCCGTCAAAAACCGAATTTACGAGCAGCGGATAATTAACGCGAACGCTGTAAACGATCTCGCCGACCGTGTGGACATTAATTGACTAGCTCGTTTCTTCACTAGGAATGTTAACAATAATGTTGCTATTGATTGGTTAATCATCTTGGAATGCTAGCGAACCTTTTGAAGGTGAAAGTAATAAAAAGTGCAAGGCCGAATACTTTTCCTTTCTACGCTACTTTACGTAGGACGTGAAGTGGCCTCTGTAGCGGAATTCCTCGAGTCTTTCCTTTAAAATTATTACGATTTTTTTTTCTCGGATAGAAGAAGTTGTTTTCTAATCTGATACCATTAGAGTTTGCAGAAATGAGTTAGCGGTTGAAACAGGAAAAGGGTGAAAATAGAAATGCATTGCGGCCCCTATTTGGCACGCGTTCCGCTTGGGGATCACCTATTTCGACATTCGAAACTTCCTAGTTTATAAAGGAAAATGGACGGATCGATTGCACGTAATTAACCGGTATCTCTTGTTTAGAATTGAACAAGCTTTTCTAACTTCGTCACGCAAGATAAGAGAAATTCGCAAGTACATTTCTCGTTGTAACTCGTTAGCCAGCCATTTTGCAAAGATATTCTTTAGGTTTTAAATCAACTTTTCTGTCATGAAATCGTATGCAACAATGTCCACGTACCATGCAACTAGATTTCTAGTGTAGAGGAGAAATCCTCTGTCACGGAAGCATGTACCAAAAATTTCACTCGCCTTTTTGAAACATTCTTAAGATAATAACGACGATGTACGCGGATGCTGCAGCATGACCCCAACGTTGGATTTCTAAACAGAGGAGAAATCTAACGAGATTTTATCGCGGAAGTACAGTCCTTTATCCCGACTCGTTAAGTAGGACGTCATCGAATTTCTATCTGGGTCTCCTGTGTCCGCATTACAAGCCGTGTAATCATCTTTCTTCGCGGGGAAAATTACAGGCCACGCGTACCATTAAAAAATCGTGCAACGTTAAGGAAAAAATTACCACCTATCCGTGTATCATTTTCGAAGTTCGACGACACCAAAGTATCAGAATATGCCACTTATGGTATATCAATTTTGTAACGATGCTGCTTCGACACGTGCGTTATGTGAAACGATGCGATGGTATAAAAGTGCATTTAGTTACTGCAGCCAGAAGGACTTTCTCCAGCCCGGAGCGTAGTAAGTTTGCTTACTCGGCCGTTCCTTTCTTTCGAGTCAGAAAGTTTTTAATGCATTTTAATCGAGTTCGCGCGGCGATATCTCCGGCGCTCCTTAATTAATTAGAAACTTTACAAGACCGTTCCTGTAATTCGATCTCGTGAGATGATTAATTTCTAATTGCCGAACCTTAATCAGCCAAGAAAAATCAGTGAATTTTCAATGAAAATTTCTCTGATAATTGTAGCGAGCAACAGTTGGCAACGGTAGATAAAAGGAGGATCGCGGAGAAATGTTAATTTTCCATTTCGCAATGCGCCTCGTCATTCATCATCCCCGACCATTAGTTCCGTTCGCGCCTCGTATGAATATTTAACGAAACCGGCCGATTCGGCTTATCCTTTCATCGCTGCTCCTTTCTAAGGCCCGATAGAATTCGAAAAAGAAAACAAACGCTCTGCAGAGAGATTAATATTACTCTATTGAAATTTTATTGCTCTATGGCCAGGTTTGATAAATCATGAAATTACCCATTAATTGATAAAAATGTGATCGTCGATCATTGTTGGCCGACGCATCAGGATCGATGCCCGTCCGCGAAAGAAGTTGGGCTCGTTTTTTATCAGGATGTGAACGGGTTAGACGGTGAGGAAGAAGACGAAAGTCGTGCTTCTGGCCCCGCCAATTAACGCGTATGAAAGATAATCGTGGGGACTCGTTAATTCGCGCGGAAACCACCTGTCGCCGTATCAAAACGCGTTTCTTCTGCTGCGCTCTGCTTACAAGACATATACACCGGTCATCATCCAGCCTGATTCAATTTACAACCACCGGGAATCAATAAGTGAAAAGATAAACAGCTGTTATTTTAATACACAGTTTGTTCGATAAACGTTTACCAAAAAATAATAATTTCATTACCGACTGGATGAATGATAATTTTAATTACGCCCGAATGAATTCGAAACTTCCTCGTTCGATAAAATAATAAAAGAAGTTTAACTGTCTGGTTTCGCGTCGCTGAAGTGAAACGTGTCGTCGCGTGAAAAAACACGCGTGATTTAATATTCGAGGTTGAATCTTTTCCTGGCCATTGCGCTCGCGGTATTGCTAAAGGAAGGGAATCGAAACCGACAGTTTCCGGCTGTGATACCACGCGAGAAAGAGCTGTAAAATGAAAATTGAGAGCAAAGTTTGATCGACGATGATACGTCCGGATCGTTGACTGCGGAAGTCTGGAGATTTCCAACTCTGACGACTCGACTATAAAAATCGAATCTTGAAGAAAATTCGACGTTGAAGACTTTAAGCGTACGAAACCGTATGAACGGGACGTTTCACGGGACATCCGGTAATTCCGGCGCTTCCCTTGGGTTCGTTGATAAAATCAGGCCACTTTCACTGCAAAACGGTTAATTTACGAGCAAAACCAGCACGCAGCGTGACCAGCAGCAACGAGAGAACGAAAGGACGATGACGGGGAAGAAGAAAGAAGGAGGTCGACGTTCGCTTTCTTCTCATCGGGTTAATTGAGCGCATCCGAACGTCCTGGTGACAAAAGATGGCTTCTGTAATTAGAGGAAAAGTAACGCGAGGACGGCGGGGAGCAGAAGTGAAACGACTTAAACGGAAGCGCGTAGGAGGTTGAATTTCGTTCGTTTCTCGCGTGCATTAGCCGTCGCGCGCTACAACTAGAGGACCTTGGAGAAGGAAAATAAATAATACCGAGTGGCCTTCGTAGTCGACCGCGAGAGAGAAGTTAATTGCTCTCAGCGAGTTCCAGCTACCGTCGTTCGAAAATAATATATCCCGTGAGATCGGTGTAATGGCAATGTTACACGGCACCACGACCTCGTTCTTGACCCTCAAAAAATACAACCACTTTGAAGCAATATTCTTCAGATATTAACATTTAATTTGATGTATCATAAGTGCCATTTCATGATACTTTCCTGCCATGAAATCGTATGCAATAAAAATCATCCATCCCTTCGAGGGGATTCTCTTCGCTTACGATAATGATAATTAAAATGACTTTGCGCGTGACTTTGCGTTCGTTTCACCTTCGATATGACCTTCGAAGTTCATTGAATACCATTATGACGAAGCGTGCACCTTGAAAAGAAGCCATCAGGGTAAACAAGTTATCCTGAGTCAAAGAAAATGTTTCCTCGGCCAATTAATTTCCCTCGCGATCGCTAATTGTAACGAAATTTTTCAAAATTTCCTCCGCTTTCAGAAAAGAGGATGTTCAAGCGTCTGTCAAAATCGCGCCGCCACAGCGCGGACGACGTGGCCCTTTCGTTGTCCAGCCCGACGACCCTGGACGAGCCACCCGGGACGTCTACGTCGCGGGACAACTGTCCAACCATCGCTTCTGCCGCCCTGCTGAGGGTTTCGAGGACGAAGTACAGCAGAAGGAGTTGCGGGGACACGAGTGCCGTACAGGCTTTGCTGTCCAGCAAGCAGGAGCAGGAGCAGGACGTGGTCGAGGCCGATTATCAAATGGTCACGGCCGTGCCCGCGTTCATCGTCGAACACGAGCCCGAGAAACAGCGAGGTAATTTGCTCCAACCAATTAACCAATGGATGATCAATTAATTTCTGGATTAATACAGAACGATGATTTTAAAATGGATGTTTCTATTCTAATTTTGGTACACCTCGACTCGTATTCTAATTAGCACGTCTGCCTAGGGGTTAATGAACTTACTAATCGGATTTCATTCCCTGGTGACTATTAATGGAACAGATCCAAACATCCGTAATGACTATTGATCGAGTAATTGCTGTTAATTACACGTCACTTCCACTGGTAATGAATATTGATTTTCAATGAATTTTATTGAAACCTCAAAGTTCAAGGAACACGTGATGGTTCAAAGATAAAAAATCCCTTTAATAAGTAAATTCCTGCCAGAGGCTTCCAAATTTTTTCTATCTCCGGTAATTACCTCTCGGCATCATCTACATCGGGAGCAAAAAATGATGGGATGATTAGTAGTAATTTTGTCAGTAATCAAATAAATGACCGTGGATACAGGTAGCTGATGAGCATAATTATCTATGGGGACAAATAGATATCATTTATGCGGCAAACAATGAATCCGGGGTTCTAGTAACGGGCTGTGAAAGAGTACAGTTACTTCGATCGGTAACAAAAGTGTCTCATTTACAAAATCATCGAGGCATTCGACGCACGTTCGATGGAGAAAAGGAGAGGAACGTGATTTTCACATTTAAATGCGATCAGAGGTGTTCAGATGTTGCTGGGTCAAACCATTTCATTTTACCTGAAGAATAATAATATTTTGAGGCTTGCAATGTAGAGTGAACACAGGATTGATGATAACTTATTTTTCAAATTATTCTGCAAAAATTTCTCGAACACCGTTCCTTGACATGGCGAGTCTAAGTACTCCCCGCGAGTATTCCATGCTCTGATGACTTCGGTGTCCTTTCGCGAAGTAACTGTTGCTCTGATCGTTTGGTTTTATGGTCAGACATCTTTCTAGAACCGCGGCGCGTTGCTAATATTCGAACTTCGCATCCTTTTACTAATCGCTTCTCGGTTCGTTAGAACACGGAACGCGCAGGTGGCTGTCTGCAAAGGTGCAACATTTTTTTTCACCGCGTACAACTGGCGAATTAGTAAATTGAGACAAAAATTCGAAGATAAAGACGCAGACGGCTTGAAAATCCTCGCCGCAGGTTTGCTTTAATAGGCCACGGTTCTGCTCCGTGTCACGGTGTCTTCTTCTGGAATTAAATTGCGGATTGTAACGTGCTACCAGTGACGATGCGTTGTATAACTGTTTTCCCGCCATTCGCGTCGCGACGCCTCGAATTCAAAAGACGATTCAGCGAGAAACGCGAAACCGCGGAGTTAGGTAGAATTGGACTGGAAATTTCGTTCCGCTGATATTTTTTTTTTTTCTTTTTTATCCTTTGTGATTCCGCGCACGGATCGGATTTCTGAAGCCGACTGCACATTTCCAAAGTTTCGTGCAAATAAAATCATTAATTTTTCATATTCTTTGAAAGGCACATTATCATCGGCTTATCTGGGTACATGATGCGATTAATTAATTATAATTAAAATGCGTTGTCATTATACTCTCTAGGCTAATGAGGAACACACGCGAGTGACGTTTGTCTAATAACAAAATTCCCTGTGAATTAATAATCGTCAAGAAATTTCAATACGAGAATAACAATAATCAGTGTAATTACAGTCACGTATTCTATAGTTGATTAATTAAGAAACTAATTAATCAAGGGTAGAGCGACGACGCGGCACGTCATCGCGATCGAACGGTATAGATGCACCATGTAAAACACATGCACGCTTTGATTGTGCATCAGGATGCACGGATGCAACTCGTTACCTTAATGAGAGTATAAGGCATCGCGCTTGTCACGCTGCATTCGGCTTATAATGAATTTTCCCACTTTATCCGACAAGATTGATTCGAAGAATTACTTGTCGCGTTGTGCGCCGTTCATTTCCAGCCCTTTATCTTTCAATTTGCATCACCGTACAAATGCGACGCGATGCATCATGCGAGTCAATCTTCGCCATGCTAAACTGTACCCTTTAACCGTGGACATATTTTGTAGATTATTTATTGCATAACAAATTAGAAATTCCATTAGTACTTTCGGGATTTAAGAACATTTTGGAATTTGAATAGTAAAATCTAGTAATTTTCTACAGGTCTTAGACTTGGCATATCAGACTTTCTATATTTCAAAACCGACCATTTAATACACAATTAAGAACTACCATACCCTGGTAGTAGCTAAGAGAAGTAGCGATGACACATGCAGTCATTAAATAAATGGTCAGGCAACGGGTTAACGAGGCCATATTGCCGTTTCTCGCTCGTACTGCCGCGTGCGTTATCGCAAAACACGTGTTCCCGATACCTGAGCAGCCTGACAATCGTTGGCCATCGTATGGCCCGGCCCCGTTAACTGGGGTGACACCTCGAAAAAGTAGTCCCAAAATACGCGGAACCAACTCGTTCCTGGCTGCTGCTACGGCTTCCTCAACGTTCCTGGGGGCGACCATATGTCGCTCGCGAATGCGGATGCCGACGGGTGGTTTTTCGTTGACGCCGAGATGGCCCGGTTCTTCTGCTTCTTTGCTGGAGTTCGCGGGAATGCTTGAATTCCGCGAATCCATTCGCGCAAATACTCCTTCTCTTCTAATTAGAACTGGGAATATTTTGAAAATAACATTTTTTCAGGCTCGAGCTTCGGGGTATGGGGTCGCAGGATGAGCAAGAAGATAGACTCGTTCCGGCGGGCTGGTTCCCGCGAAACGATCTGCTCCATTTCCGAGAAACCCGACAGCACGAACAACAACAACAACAACAATAACTGTACCGCGAGTAACAACAACATAGCTCAGAAACAAGATAAAACACTGCCAGATTTCAAGCTAGACTCTAAGTCAGAAAAGAGAATACCGGGAACCTTTCATAGATCACCATCACCTTTCAAGTCCTTCTTCATCCGCATGGGGTCTACCGGGATGCTGAATTCCGCGAGAAGTAACAGGCGTTCGCAAAACATCGACGACAGACTGAAGACGAACGAGAAAGAGAATCTCTTCAGAAGCTGCAGCACCAGCCAACTGAACACCAGTCCAACCTATGTGAAGGGAGACGACCCTTCGGAAGGGATAGACCTGCAGATCTCTAGTCGCAAGGATAAGACAGTGTCTTGTGACAATTTGGCCGGACGTCAAAACGACGACATGTTCGACGAGCATAACGACCCTGCTTCCTTGTATACCTTGGGAAGTCCTTCCATGACCAGCTTTAGCCCCTGCGATTTCGATCAATCCCGGACCGAATCGGCGATGAGGAAGAGCAGTAGCTGCGATTTCAAGGAGGCCAAAAAGTCCAGCTTCCCCTACGCCTTCTTGCGATCCAAACTGTCCGTCCTACCCGAGGAACGTCACAGCACGTTCGCGTCGAAAGACGAACGACTGTTCAAGACTGCCTCCGAAGAGCACTTCCCAACGCTGAAGGTGGAAGATGCGTACACCGGCACCACGACGTTGGGACGTCGCCGCGCCAGGAACGGGAACCTGACCAGAGTAAGTTCCAGCAAGTGTCAGGAGGCGTCGAGCTCGAAGTCCAGCCGGAATTCGTACGCGGAATTCCGGAGGAGTTCGAGCAGATGCGAGGACAGGTACAGCCTGAACTCTAGCCATCTGGAGAGGATCGAGGACAACTTCCAGCAGGAGGACGCCGGTTGCTACGGCTCCTACGATAGCAGTCCGATGTCCAGGCAGCAGGACAACACCAGTCAGGACAGAGTGGACTTCGTTGGAAGAATGAACGATCCCAGATTTTCGGAAACGTCCTCGTTGAACGTAGACATCGATATGGTGGCCACCCTGAGGAATCACAGAAGGAATTCCGCACCCAGTGGCGAACAGAGGCTCTCATCTCACTATGTCAGCTCGAACGAGTCCGGGTACGACAGTGACGGACCAAGAGGAGAGTCCGCAGCCGCATCTGAGAACGAAGGGTTAAGTTTGAAGTGTACGGACAGCTCGGACACCAGCAGCGTGGTGGACTCGGAGCTGGAGAAACCCATCAGGAGCTCCACTCCCAGCGAGTGCCATGAACAGGAGAACGATACCAGGACAAGGAAGAATTCCGAGGATGGCCGAGCTGGGAGTTCAGAGCTAAACGACGGAATTGATGGTCTCAGGTGGCACCAGAGCAACTCTGGGAGGATGCTACCCAGCATCCATCAAACCTACGACGACGTGGCTATGAATTCCCAGTTTCCTGTCTGTGGAAATGGGTTACAAAGTTCTCACAAAACCCTGGACATCTCGCCGCATCGAATGAGACTGCAGCAGGACAAGAGCAGGTTCCTCAGCGACATCATCCAGCCCCCGAAGAGGGTCAGGAGGTGTCGACTGGTGCAGCTTCACAAGAGGGACCCTAAGGAGAGCCTGGGTATCCGGTTGGCCCAACAGCGCTTGGGGGAACTGAGATATATTGTCGTGCAGCTAGAGAGCGATGGAATAGCGCATAGGTGAGTTGAAGCAGGAATCCTGCTCTAATTCTACCCTAACTTTTACGTAACTTCCACAGAGACGGCAGGTTGAGGCTAGGCGACGAGATCGTGGAGGTTGAGGGCAAGGAGCTGAAGACCCTGGAAAGCCTTGAAGAGGTCCAGGAGTTCCTGAGGTCTTTCACGGGTAACAAGATACATTTGATGACCGCCTATGAGGAGACTGTGCCCCAGGTCTACGTCAGTCCACCCACGTTACCCGGGGAGTACGAGTACCTGGAGAATGCGAAGAATCTTTCCAATCTCTCACTGATCGACGGCGAAACGAAACAAGTATTGGAACAGTCCACTGCTAAGAGCAGCAATGATGGAAACCAGTCGACGAAGAGGCCAGACTTTCTGCCACTTTCCTGTTTGTCCAAGGAACGAAAAGGCACCGAAAGTAATCTGGAGTCATCGACGGAGCCGCAACACTACTTGACGAGGCACATTGCCAAATTCGAGAAGGGTTACGGAAAACCGAGCCTGGGGTTCAGTGTCGTAGGGGGCAGAGACAGCCCTCGGGGCGAGATGGGGATCTTCGTCAGGAGGGTATTCCCTGGTGGTCAGGCTGACGTCTCCAAGTCACTATTTCAAGGTAAATACACGTTCGCTTTATCTCATCAGGAATCACCAGATGCGTTTCATCAAGAACTCCTTTTACAATACACGTAACCCATTGCACCAGCCGTGACGTAATCGAGCATTCCTTGCAAGGATCTAGCGACATAGTTCACTGTTTCAGGATCAACTATGGCCGCGAATGTGGAAGGAGCCGATCGATGCGTCACGTACGGGTCGTCTTTGCTCGTGCATTCACACCGTCAACCTCATGGACACATCTCGAATCTTTAATCCGACGCCTAACGTCGCTTGCATTTCTAAACAGCCCCCAGCCATCTCCACCTTTTTCGCTTCCTCTCGCCTTTTGTAACAGCTCGCATGCCACTGTACTCGTCAGCTTTCTCGACCTCCAGCTCAAAGGATAGGTCGTTCGAAGACAGAAATTTTAATGAACTTTGTATACGGGCTGACAGGGAAATATTGAATTTCTCTTGCACGCGCGTCAGACCATCTCCTAAGCGATTTTTGTTATGCTCCCGTCGCGGTAGGCGGCGGGCACGTTATATACGAAGGTTTCACGCAACGCGTTTCGAGTTACAACCGATCCAGCACGCTTTTTACGAGCACGCGAACGTCCGTGGTTTCCTCGTGCCACTGCACCCTGCTGCATGCTTGCATAACGGATCGTCGCTCGTTTCGGTTGCATAAGTTCAGGATCGATGCATCTCCAACTGCATCCTAAATATTCCAACACCATTGGTTCTACAGTCAAATCTCGATTTAGTAATATTTTTCTTTTGATTTTTCTTTCAGGTGACGAAATTCTAAGCTTGAACGGAAAAGTGTTGCGTGGTTACACCCATCAGGAAGTAATTGAATTGTTTAAAGCTGTAAGGGAGGGTCCTGTAGAGTTGGAAATTACAAGGAGACACAGGTATTAATACTACCTCATGAATTTTTTATTAATTATTTCTAATTATTTTGTGATACCAATTAGCAGTGACCTACGCGTACAATTAATAAATTTTCATTTTGGAAAATCTGTTATGGGTGTCTCAGGTATCCAAAAAATCCGCAAAAATCCGCGCCATGCTGAAAGGGAGGCGTCGTGGACGAATCTGCCCACCGGAAGTGCTCTTTCGTATCAATTCTAAGCGTACGTTTCGCTGCCAACGAAGTTTTAGGATTCTAGTCTATATCAGAACGAATCTTCGATCTTTCATGATGTTTGTTTCAATTAATTTATTTAACGCGGTGTCGCGGTTGCATAGTGAATAAGTTTATTATCAAATGTTTATTATTATTGATACTATATTGATTATTATATATATTATTATTATTACTATAAGATTTTATACAGATACGTTATAGCAGCGTGAAATTCACTGTATGCGATTTCTTTTTTTATTATTATAGAGGACAATAAAAAGGTCGTAATTTTAAGGACGTCATCTTAGTTATTAAATAATCATTTTATTTCAAAGAAATTTTACAAATTTACAGTATGTACAGGTCCCGAAATTATTTTTACAACGATCAGGGGTTTCTTCTTTTTTTTTATACATTTCTTCAGGCGTCAACGAGCAATAGGTCTGCGCACGACTTGGCCTTCGTTGTCCTGGAACACATTATTAAATAAAATGTATAATAAAACGTTATCCTGTTTATCACATTCCCTTCGAAATGAAAAAGTAAGTCAAAAATGTAGAGTAACACTTTTTCGTACAAGGCCTCATTTTTTAATAAATCAACTTTGAAGATTTAAAAGAATGCGTGGCGCCATCTAGTGTCAAAAATGAGCTGTTTTATTTTGCCGATAGGGCGCGCAAAATATATCTTTATTTTTAGTTCCTCTCATCGACACTAGACGGTGCAGTTATAAAGAATTTCAAAATTTAATCTACAAATTGATGTATCATAAGTACCATTTTGCAATAATTTTGTGTCATGAAATTGTTAAAAAATGCAAGTCTACTATACGCACTGTAATTCCTTGTTCTTAACCCGTCTACAAAGGTGCAAGGCAACAGGTCCGGTCTTAATATTCCGGAAAAGCTGGACAGCTTTTCTGTGGGTCAAGTCGTGGCAAACGTGGCCATTCACTGCCAAAATCTCGTCACCAGCACGCAAACGGCCATCTTCAGCGGCTTGCCCTCCTGGCAATACCGATTTTATAAAGATACCTGTAACAAACACGAATCATCAATAATAACAACTTATTAAAATTAACATTAACTCACCGATGCTTCCTTTAGGACTATCGCTTCCCCCCACGATGGTGAAACCCAAGGACTTCCGGCCAGGACCCTTTTGGAACACCACCGTCATGAATGTGGAGACGGTGCTTCTCGGCCTCCTCGGTAACGTGCAGAAATTCGAAACACTTTGCGATCCACTATTATCAACGCTCACAAAAGTCTTCTCTGTGGAGCTGGACCTATTGCACTCCTTCTTATCACGAAGATGTTTACTTTGGCGCTTCCTGAAGCGTGACCTCGGTGAATTTTCCACAATAGTACCATGTCCATTTTCCATATGAACGTTTTCATAATCCACGCTGCTCTCTGTCAGCTTCTTCGGGGATTGATCGATAGCAGTGTATCTGGAGACCACTATGTCAACGTCCCCAGGCCCACTGCCACTTCCGAGGATCCTCCTGGCCTCCACCATGCTGAGTCCTCGCAGCCTTTTGCCATTTACTATCAGGATCTCATCTCCTATCCTCAAGGTACCCTCCTTATCTGCCAGGCCATTTGGAACCACGTGGGCCACCAGGTACCCAGGACTCGATTCGGCAGTTTTCGCGATAAAAATTCCTAGACACTGATCAGAATTTCCCCTAGGTAGCTTCACCACTATTGTTTCCGTGGCGTAGGACCTGCTCCTGACTACAGCGAGCCGGGAACCCTCTGATGCCATCGAGTCAGGAGACTTTCTGTCGGGGGACTTGGAGTCTTCCCGACCAATCAGCTCACTGTTCGCAGCCTGGCAAATCTGACTCGAAGAATCCTCCAGAGAACTTATCCTGGACACGTCCCTCTTGCAGCCCCTTCCTTCGTTCCTGCTGCAGTACATATCCAGACTGGAGAAGAGCCTGGCTGTCCTCTCCACGTCCACGATGGAGGAGGAAGGTTTTCTAGGTGGTAGCTGAGGAGGTGAGTTCAAGGAGTCGTTGAGACCAGTCAACAACCCGGAAGCACTACTACTACACCTGTCATCCAGCAGGGAGCTGGTGGCGGAATCATTGTCCAGGATGCCAGAATCATTGTCATCCTGGTCCTGCTCTTCGTACAAAGGGTTCGTCCTGAGTTCTTCGAGGCCTGGCAAGGTCCCATATGAAAAACTCCTCAGTCTTCTTCGCTCCCTGTCCTTCACGTCCTTTTTGTAGATCTTGGCGATGAGTTTGCTGGTGGAACTCTTCAAGTACCTGTCCTGCATCGCCCTAAACTTGGCCGCCAGACAGCTGGAAGGTGTTATGCTGTCGAACTGAGAACCATCTTTAAATGCTGGGTCCTCCACACTTGTGGACACTTCAGGGTCGTGGTCCATGGGTGTTTTAGGTGTTTGGTGATCCTGGAACTCTTTACTCTTCCTCCATTTACGATTATATTCATTTGTATCCATTTCCATGATGCGGTCTTTTGATAATGCTGCTTTTTGACCTGATGAAGGTCGGAAGTTTAGGAAGGAGAAACGTTCTTCATGGTGTTTCCTATAAGGCAATCTGCTTTGAGATTTCGACCGTTTTTTTCTTTTAGCTTGAGTCTTTTCTTCTTCGATGATGTCCTTCAGATCTGATTCACAAACAGACCTGCGAAATTCGTTTCTCGTTAGATCATTCTGATCCAATTCACACATGGAACGAAACTGCATCTTCTCAGGGTCTTCTTCTTCCTCTTCATCATCTTCCTGTTCGTCATCGTCGGAATCCCGGTCCTTGAAGAAGCTTAGTCTTGTATTCTTCACACGATCAAGGAGAGGATTACGCTTTTCACATATCCTTCGTCTTTCTTCTTGGATTCTCTTCTTGTCTTTCTTCGTGGGAGTCCGTTCCGTTGTCACTTGCGACGTCTGCACGTTGTAGCAGTTCCGCTCCGACTCGGAACTTGACGACTTCCGGCGAGCCCATCGCACCGGGGACATGTCTGTGAAAATGATATTAAAAATTGAATGACTCCTCATCTCCCAAGCGAAAGTTCGACTGGTAATGAGGGCCGAGACGAAAATGATGACGCTATATGAGCACGGGGAAGACTCCAGACGGATGTGTGTTAGTCAGGACATCCCGTATGAGCAATTCATGAGTACGTTACTCGAGTGATAGTGAAAATAGTCACACGAAGAACAGGAAGTCGGAAGTAATTGGACTGTGTGTGAATTTCTTCGCTGGTGAGAGAAAACAAAAATATATGTATGCTTCAGTGAACTCAAATTTTAAGCCCCCCACTCCCAGATATGAATTAGTCGCATCATTATTCTAAAATTTTATACCTCCAAGATTCAAAGATTCAAAAATTACAAAATTACAAAAATTCATTACGCCAGAATCAGTGCAAATGAAACAATTGTCATAAATATAGAAGTCTCGGGTCAACGTTTCCTCGTATTTATTATGGCGTTTCGCACCAAAAACCGCAACGATGTTATCGCAATCGTTCATAGAAGTGCGTTGACTAACATCGTGGTTTTTCAGTGAAGGCGCATGATATTTTGAAAGCTAGAATACCTATTGCATTACCACAACACTATTCTCCAAGATTTACTAAAAATTTGAATCAAAAAATATTTTAAAAATCATCCACAATGTTTCCAAGATGAATGTATCTGTTTACAAAGCGTCTCATCATATTTATTCGCTGAATTAATCGCAATCTTTCTTTTCCAATTCGTAGACCACCATAATTCTCCATAAAAGCCGACTCTCACGGAGTCAACGATGCTTCGCGAAGTTTCTTCGCTTTCGAAAGCAAACAGAACGAATGATCGGAGAGATTCATTGGTCGCTACACGACCCAAAAATTCTGAGAAAACACAGTATCACTTTTGAACTCTACCCAGCGGCTAATTATAATTGTAAAAGTTGACGTCGCATCCTGTTTTTTGTACCATCGTGTGGCAATTGTATCGGTAGATTCTCACGGATTCTTACCTCTGTACCGAGACGTTGCATGGAAGTGGTAAGATGCTCCGTCAAGGTCTTCATCGACTTGAAGAGGACTTAGGCTCAAGAGTCTCGGTGCCTCGGCGTGGCCACGAAACCAACGCATTTCTGAAATAAAAAAAGAATATCCATTCGAATAATTTTGTAAAAGTGAAACTGTTACAGTTGCAGTGAATGGCGATAGAACCGAGGTCATTTTCTGTAGCACCAAATGACGTGGAGAACGTGAAAAATGTACAAATAATTCATAAACAGACAACCTTCAGTATTTCCTGACGTTTGTGATTATGTACAGTATCGAGCAAAGTAGACTTTCCTAGGAAAACGAGAAGTTACAAACAATTAAAATTAAAAATAATAATAATAATATTTAATTGACCCTTGTACGATCAAATTAGACCGAAGAAAGCCCGAGGAAGAGGAAGCCCACCATACCCTCAACTGTACAATATTTTATCTCTATAAATGTTTATGAATGGAGAATTCAGCTTTGACGCATTACATTAAAACGATAACAGAAACAGTATCATTCTTTAATGACACCATCCAAGATTTATTGTTGAAAATGAAGCCTATACTTAAACGACCCATGCGAGGATACCGCTTGTGCGCTCGTTAAAATCTCCGGCGCCGCGCCAGTCGGAATCGCGCGTGTAGGGGGAAAAAAACGGTGCAGAATCTCGATGAAATCTTTCCGTTCTTCGCATTGGATACCGTTGCCAATAAACCCATCTTTTTTCTGCCATGGACCATCGGACCATCCGAAGGCGTTACCGTTCATCTGCTCCCCGTAGAAGCCGTAATTTAAACCCGGGAATATAATAGCCTCGGCTTTAACGGTTTCTCCGAGTCCATCATGCTTTTTCCGCGTGATAGTTTCTGCTCAACGGAACCCGATTATCCTGTCACCGAGACGGTGATCGGAAATGTCATTATTCTCGATGATGCTTGGAAACAGGAAGAAATATATATGCGTGTGCCACTTATTCACTCCGTCAAGCATTTCTGTTATTTATGAAGAATTCTTTAACGAGTTTACGATTCGTTAAACTCGAGGAATTGAGGAAAGTATGAAAACGGAGAAAATGGATTGGAGGATCGTGGATGGTACCCTGATGAGTTGACGACCATGAACTTGTAGGTGATCCTCGATGACGATGGATTCAGGGATCCAACGCGATGGCCGGCGGTCTGAATGAAAAGTGAAAAGCGGACGTCGTGGGAGCTGGTCGTTGGAAATGTGCCGTTGGCACAGATATTTGCATCAGAGAAAGTCGTCTCCCTTCCCTTCTCTTCTTCTTCTTCTTCTTCTTCGTCCTCCTCTTCTCCTTCTACTTCTTCTTCTTCTTCTTCTGTCCGCGATGCGCTCGTGACTACGTGTATGTACATAATCGATGCATTAACACCTTGCATAACCGAGCCGCGATGTATTAATCATCTCCATTATGCGACCGGCTCGTGGAAACGGGATTCTTCGCGTCACAGACGATGCTTTCCACGCTCGACACGTAACGCGAGACCATGGGAAACTCGGAGATCATGGTTCGTTTGTTTTCTCTCAGCCATTGTGGGATCATTTGGATAGAGAAGATTCTTGGGTCACCTTTGGACCGTTTAATGCACAACGATGTATTCATTGGCTTAAGTACGGTTTTTGGAGGGGGCTGAATGGGTTAGCTTTGGAATTTTTAAATATTGGAATCCTAGAACCTCAAAATTTTAGAATTTTTAAATTTTGGAACTTCAGAACCTTAGAATCTTAGAATCTTAATTAGAATCTTAGAAGGACCAGTTCCCCCTTTACTATAAATTAAACACTTTATTACTAACGTGAAAGTTATTTCATTGCATAACCATAATTCCATCAAGAACACGGATAAATCACAAGAGTTGCGCGTAATCAAAATCGCATTTTCATAAAATCCATTCACCGTATTTGTCAATCCACAAAAGAATAAAATAGCACCGAGGCATCGATAAGGTGATGGATGAAAGTAGAAAGTATCCAAAGAGTACCTATGATGGTAGTACCAGTAGCAAGTATCGCTTAGACTTTCTTTTGACAAAGTAAACCTACTACCGGGTAATTGGCCTCGATCTATAGATCTTACGAGCTATTTCATCATACTAACTTCTAACACCAAGTGCTACACTTTCCTGTTCTTTAAAATAAGATTCTAACGACTGCCTGCCAGGCAATTTTGTTTCGCAATCAAATGCACGCGATAAAAACAGAATTCCTTGCTGCTATTTCAGATTTTTTATCTTTCGAAATTAAGTAATTTGAAAATTTGGGAAGTTGACAATTTAAAAACTTGGAAAGTTGGCAATTTGGTGATTTGAAAATTTTGAAACTTAACAACTAGGAAATTTGAATTGCTCTGCAATAAAAATTCCTTTTTAATTGAACGAAGATATTAATTTACTGCATTCCCATTAAGAAACATTGCAGAATGCGTCTATTTCATCAGCAACGCCAACGGCGACGTCTAACACCAGTTATCCACGAATCCCTTCGGGCTGGCACCACAAAGTGACCCACTTACTGGACAACGCTCGTTGCACGAACACACAGAGAGTGTGCAAGTTGCGTACAAACTCGAGTCTTTTGGGACGGGTCGTCCGTGGAATGCCGATCGCAAACTACTTTCACGCCACCATGATTTGAGGTAGAAATTCCCTTGGAAAATTTCACTAAATCAATATATATAAAAGTCAGGAAAAGTTATGTACACCTATCACGAAAGAAATTTTTTTTCTTTAGATTTTAGGGCCATTTCCAACAAGCCTTATCTTATTTTCCATTCACGGAAATCGCGTATCCTTGCACGCGCATCATCCACGTAAGTGCATTTCCATGGCTATGGAGCCATGGTCGTAAACCTTGGCTTCGCCTCAAGCCTGGCACGAGGTGCGAATTATCGCTCCACGTTTAAATTGCACACGATTTTTCCAGATGCCTTTTACTAGAAGAAGAGGCTATCTTATTACCTGGTGCACGTGCATCGCGAGACAAACTTTTTCTTCTTCTTGAAATTATACGCACGAAATACGAGCTGCGCTTCTCTTTCGTCCGACCGTGACCCATAAATCTAGCAGTGCAGTTTACTGCTTGCAAACGAAAATAATTTAATAATAGTTGAAACTTTTGTCCAAGTATTAAACGATTAGTCATACGTTCGGTATGAGAAAGTGGGTCAAATGGTACCGGACAGACTGCATGCGAGTTCCTGATTTTAAAGGGCTCTCCAGAACATATCAATATACGTAATATATCAATCGCATTAAAATATATCTGAATTTTCCGATTTCTTATTTCTACCAAAAATGGTGACTTTTCAAATTTTTCTTTCTAACACATGGTAACCTCTTGGCAATGACATTTGATGATGTCTAACAAAATTTTTAACGTAACGAGCCTAATTACTTGGATGATGGTATCGTGGCTGGAAACAACCGCGGGAGTGATTTAACGAAGCGCACCGCGAGGTTAATTGGTTCTGGGTGTGACGACGAATTAATGGACAAAGTAGGAACGAGGTCGTAATTAATTATTCAACGGATAGCATGAAACTCGGAAGTCAATTACATTTTATTTGTCTCGATTGAGTAACGTTAGAAATTTGTTTATCAAATCCTGCAGCGTCACGCTGACTTTGGTATGCGATTAAAGCTTGTTCCAGCGAGCTGCTCGTGGCCGTTTATCATTCCTCGTCCCAACGTTACACGCGACATGCGAAATACACATTTAAGGAGACCACGGTGCACCGATGCGCGTTGCAATTGCATTCGTGCACCACGGGTTAGAGCTCGCCGTTACAAATAACTCCTCCTGATTCAGCTTTAATATCGTGAAAATTACGAGTCGTAAGAGAGCCAGCCTGAACTGTTTACGAGAACGCGAGGGCGGGTCGCTGTGTTTCAAGGACAATCTCGATGATGAAGAATATTTGGAAAATAATTCAATGCTTTATTTTCATTCCACCGCCGAAAGTAGGGTCCATCTCTCAGAAAAAGAATAAAAAAAAAAAAAAGAAGTGTATTCCGAAAACAGAGAGGATATAAATGAAACAGTGTACTATTTTTATCCTTCTTTGTATAACACCGAGAAAATATTCTCCAGTCGAAGTATTCCAGATTCGAGGAATGCTCTATTTTTAAATTGAACTGAAAATTTACTGTTTGTGTGTTGCGGAAAATTCCAAAGGGGAACGTCCGAAATGTAAAACGAAACGTGACTGGTGTGCACGACATTCTTCGAGTGCTCATAAAATATTCGCAAGTGTATGGCTACTGGCTCGTAACTCCGCTTCCTAGGTATTGTAACCTCACCGAAGGATTCTTCTTCAAGCATAGTTGCGGAACCTTGGAAAAATCCTCTAGGAATTTTATTCGATACGTATCCTTACTGCTCACTGTTTCACAGAGACCAAAGTTTTGGTAGCTGAAGTCACGTTGAACCGGACTTGGCATATTTCACTTGGAAACTATTCAACCGCATAGCAAAGCGGAGGGAAAAAAGTAGGCAGCCGAAGCGGATTAGCTGATCTCCTTTCCAGCCACGGTATTCCAGAATTCACGAAGCATCGCGACGTAAAGAGACCGGTTGACGGGGGCAAGAAGTTAACTGACCGTGCAATCTAAACGAGCCTCGGTTTATTCGAACTCGGAAATACACGCGTTGTCAGCAATTAACGTCGCGCGTACGTAGCACCTTTCAACCTATCCTCCGTATCTGAATCCAAACAGAGGTTTTCAGTCAACCGATCCTCTTTACTGATACTAGAATTTTTTTTAGGGGGTTGGTCCTTAGACATTTTAGAATTCCGGAATTTTGGAATGCCGAAACCTTACAATTTTCAAATATTAGAATAACGAGTGTGTCAGTCTAGAAAATCTTTCCAGGTTTGATTGTTACGTAACGAGGCAATTGAATGGATAATTTATGTTACAGGGAAACAGTTCGGTTCAATGATATCGGTAATTACAGTATCGAACGAAAGGCGCAGCATTCCTCGGGGCTCTTTGATCTAGCCAGATCGTTTGAACCCAAACACAGTTAATTCGTGGAATTCAGGAGTTGGATGGATAATAATCAATCCGGCATA